GCAACTGCAACTGCCTTTGCAACTGATACTACACATGCAAATGCACCGGCCTATGCTACTGCCACTGTAACTGTAATTTAGCTGCAACTGCAAGTACAACTGCAACTTTACAAAAGACTGAAACTGAAGATGAAACTGCAACTGCTAATGCACATGCTACTGCTACTGCTACTGCACATGCAACTGCAACTCTATCTGCAATAACAACTGCAACTGCATCTGGAGGTACAACTGTAACTGTAACTGCCCCTGCACCTGCAACTGAAACGGCACATGCAACTTTAATTGTAACTGAAACTGCACATCCAACTGCAACTGCATATGCCACAACTACTGCTCATTCAACTGCTTTTGCTACTAAAACTGTACATGCAACTGCCTCTGCTAGTGCACATGTAACTACATCTGCTACTGCAACCGCAACTGCCACTGCATTTGTACGTGCAACTCTAACTACAACTGCAACTACAACTGCAACTGCAACAGATACAGCTACTACAACTGCCCATTAAACGGCTACTGCTACGGCACATTTACCTGAAAGTGCATGTGTACATTTAACTGAAACTGAAAGTACAACAGCAACTGCACATAAAACTACAACTGCACACGAAACGGCAACTGGACATAAAACTGCAACTGAAACTGCTGCTGCAAAATACACAGAAACTGCAATTGCMCCTGCCAATGCTACGGCTACTGCAACTGCATATTCGACTGCCACTGCAACTGCTCATCAAACTGCAACTGCATATGCTTCGGCTACTGCTCATGCAACTGCTATTGCTATTGCAACTGCTACTGCAACTGCAACTGCACATGTTCTTTTAACTGCACATGTACTAACAACTGCTACTGGAACTGAAACTGCAACTGCTACTGCACATGCTTCTTCAACGACACATTAAGCTGCTAATGCTACTGCACTTGCTACTTTAAATAAAACTGCAACTGCAACTGCTACTGCTCATGCTACCTTAATGCCACTGCTACTTCACATGCAACTGGATCTGCCAAGGCTAATGCTACTGCAACTGCACATGCGTTTGTACTTTATATGCGAATCAAACTGCAACTACATATTTTACTGCAACTGCACATGAAACTGCCATTTCCACTGCAACTGTACTTGCACCTGCATGTGGTACTGCCACTGCAACTGCAACTGGACATTAAACTGTAATTTCAAGTGCACATTCGACTGCCACTGCTACTGCTCATTAAACTGCAACCTCATATTTAATTGCCACTGAACATGAAACTACAACTAAATATCTAACTGCTACTGCACATCTAACTGCAACTGCATGTGTACATTTGACAGCAACTGCAAGTACAACAGTTACTGCACATTAAACTGCAACTGCAAATAAAACTTTAACTGACTCTGCAGCTGCACTTGCCCATGCTACTGCAACTGAAAATGCAACTGCACATGCTAATGCTACTGCTACTGCAACTGCACATTCGACTGTAACTGAAACTGCACATCAAACTGCAACTGTACATTTTACTGCAAAATGCACATGTAACTACTACTGCTACTGCAACTGCAACTGCACATTTGACTGCAACTACAACTGCACATCAAATTGCAACTGTATATTTGTCTCCTACTGCACATGCAAATTCCATTGCTACTACAACTGCTCTTGCAACTGCAACTGCAACTGTTACTGCACATGCTACTGCTATGCACATTTAACTGCTACTGCTACTGCACATGCTACTGCAAATGCAACTGCAACTGCAACTTCTACTGCACATGCTACTGTAAATGCAACTGCAACTGTACAGGCACCTGCATGTGCTATTGCCACTGAAACTGCAACTGTACATCAAACTGTAATTTAACTGCACATTCAACTGCAGCTGCCACTGCTCATCAAACTGCAACTGCATATGTAACTGCCACTGAACATGAAACTGCAACTACATATGTAACTGCAAATTTAGAGTAAGTATATAATTTGCACGCGTGATATTTGGTGTTTTTTTATGTTGTTTTGTCTTTTTTGAAGGTTTTTTTTGAAGTTTCTTTTGAGGTTATTGAGGGTATACCTATTTGGGTAAACTAAAAAAGTATAACTTTTTACGTGTGTACATAAGTACACATACTAGTTTTTTTTTTATCAAGAAAACTTTTTTCTTTATAAAAAAGAATGTTTTATTGACTACCAGAGGAATTAACCTAAAAGTATGAAATTGTTACGCGCTGATATATTTATTCCAATAGTTCTATATTACTTAGTCGCATTTGTATAAAAATAATGAATTTTGTCAGACGCCTAACAGTAAATCTAATTATTAGTATAGTTTAACATACAAATATAGCCAAAGATTCTACACATGTTACTGTATAATTGTAGATAAGGGCAAAGCTAATTCTTTCTCATTGTCTATTTTCATTTTGCCTACTCGTCACACACAGGCTCACACTATGTTGGCCGACAGTACTACGTGGTACTAACCTTACGCAAAATTTGTTGGCACAATGTCATAGCCATTTTTCCGCTATCGCGCGCCCTCTTTATTCAAATCTAATAGCGCGAGTTATATAACTCTGCTTCTAGGCATCTGGATGATATGCGGTCAATGTCCTTATCACCATGAGTAAACAAGACATTCTCGATGCCAAGGCGAGGAAACTTGAAATAATGGGCAACACAATTGAAATGCGATAGAAGGCACGAGGAAAGCCCTTACCGTTACTTCCCCTGCGCTGGCGGCGATTCACTCTCTGTCTGGTATTCAATCTATAATGAAGCATTAATAAGTAAAAAGAATTTTAATCAACTTTTTTTCATTCGATTATTTACTCACTTACCTTAACTAAATAAATCATTAGTTATTACTTACGAGTGTGAATTCATACTCTGTACACCGTAACATAACACGTGCGCTTCCCCGGTTTCCTGTTACACATGTTCGTCCCTTTTCACGAAATAACTCCTAGATACCGAGCGGAAAGATGTTACACATCAAATATTTATTTAAACGGATTAAAGATTTTACAAGACATTTAGTGAATGTTGACTTAAACAAGCGAATGAAAAAACGTAAAGTACCCTGTAGGAAACTTTCTAAATTATATTAATATACAATAAAATACTGTTCTGAGATAGAGAAGTGTTAAGTAGCTTTCAGAGTGAAAGCATGAATATTCCTTTCAAATCTTGGACGACTTTTTCATTAAACTGCTGTTCTAATTAAAGAACTGGGTTTTAAACCACTACTTAATTGCCTGAATCTATCCGTTCGTGAAATTAGTTTGTCTTCTTGCTCAATTATTGATAATAATATCAAGGTATCGATATATTAATATAATTCATGATTGAAAAACTAAGTGCGAAGCAATGCATATAAAACAATGTTTACATGCTTTATCGGCAGAAAGTCAAGTAAATTTATGCTTGGTTTCTCCATTACTAACACGATTAAAGATGTAAAGGGAAAAAATAAGTACAATAATTAATTGCACTGGTAATATGGTGAAATAAAACCGATGAAACAAGAAGACTCTAGCCTAATCTAAATAAATCACATATATAAAAATCATATATATATTAGGAATCACTCGTGAGCAAAACCAAAGATTCTACTCACGTCTCTTATTCTCGTTTCAGACAAGATACATCTTTGAATCCAATCAGGAACCCGTGCTGATATTAAACCTTTCATCCTTGGCATGATTGGACACTAGAAGGACTTAAAATTTTGTTACTTACTCGTTACTTATTGTTACCATAAAAATAAAATAAGAAATGAAACTTAACAATTGGCATTTGAAGTTGCGCGATAGCTCCGTAACACTCATCCCCCTTGCTGTAAGTTAAATGATGTCGTGAAGTTGAATAAAATTCGATGATTTGTAAATTTGTTAAATTGTTGAATCATTTAATGATGAATCGTTGAATCGTTGAATCGTTTAATCATTGAATCGTTTAATCGTTGAATCGTTCAATCGTTGTATCGTTTTGTCGTTAAATCTATGAATGCTGAATCGTTTAATCGATGATTAATCTATATTTAAAAATAAGAAATAAATTTAATTTGGTTTCATATTATCCAAAATTTTTTTCATAAACATTGACTATAAGTAAAAACAAACGTGATTAAAAAAATGAATGTCTATAAGAAGTAATAGTTAAGACTACAAAATAATACTAACCGTTAATTTATCTAAACGAAGCAAAATGCGTCAATAAAGTTGTTTTAGCAGAAATAAAGTTGTTAATTCACACTTTCGGCAATGACAATATTTTAATTAAACCGCAAATCCTCTTCTTCCGAATTGACCGAAAGTGTTTTAAGGATTCTAATCACATATTGAGCGAATTGTATTTTTAACAAGAATATTTTACAAATTTTTGCAATAATTTTAAATACCGATTTAATTACTTTTAAAGCAATCTTTGCGATTGCATACCAAGGAAGGCTACATTTTTAAAATGAACACTAACTTTAAGATTGCATTGCCTGTAATCGCATCCGAAGGTCTGAAAATCAAAGTCTATTTAAAGCAAGTCGTATCGTACTTCTGTTTATTTTTTATGTTACTAATAAAAAATATAATTTTTGATGATAAAGTTTCATAGGGAACTTGGACATGAAAAGAAGTAGAACTTAATTTAATTGAGTTATTAGTTCCCTATGAAACTTTATCATCAAAAATTATAATTTTGGACGAGAGAAAATACTAAATAAAAAATATAATAATCGTTTTATAATTCAATTATTTAAACTACATATTCCAAAAATTTTAGAATCTTGCTAGTATTTTTTGTATGCTTTAATTATTATTAAAAAGAATTATTCAAAAGATGTAACTAAAAACTTATAAACTATATAAAAAAAAAAAGATAAAATACAAAGGAACAAATATCGCGTGGCACTCTAACTTTCATAAAATAAATTTCATCGCGATAGGGTTATTTTTACAGAAGTATAATTATTGCGATAATACCTATACGAAAGAATAGATATAGCATTAATGTAAAACTTAACAAGGTTCAATATTTATAAATATATATTTAAACATTTTATTCTACATGTTTAATTGACTGAGCGTGTCTTGAATTATTTCTGTAAATTTAATACTATAAGAAATAAAATGAATTTAGATTAATTAAATTTAAATTACAATTGCAACGCGTAATTAAATAATTAATTCAATAAATCATTTCATTTACATTAAAATTTATTAGTGATACAAAATTTAAAATTTCCGAATGCATCGAACGATCTAATTAGAAATTAGCGTATTTCTAAAATTAAAGGAAAGAAAGAAAAAAGTATACTTGCACGACTGTACGCAGTTGTATATACTACCATTGAGTAGAATGATTTCCATGGAATAATGATGAACGTTTTTCTGAAACGATGAAAAGAATGGGATGATTGCATACGTCTTTCTGGACTAATAAAAAAAATGAGAGATTACAGTAAAAATCTTTGTGAAACTATTTAAAAATATAAGATCATACAATTTTAGTTACATTCTATTATTACTTTTATCTAATTTTAATAGAGTAACGTCATCGATAATGATAGCAGAAACCTGTAAATCAAACAAGATTTATTTAGGTTATAAAATTTAATAATAAAATATTATTTTAACAAAGGATTAATTATTAATAGAATTGATTCGGTAGCCACCCATGATAAAAATTCGCCTACCGCGAGTCTGCTGTCTCCGGTTAGCACTACGGTTAGCAGTCTGTTCGTAGATAGTATTTACAGGATACCGGCGGTGCAATTACCTCGATTTGACGGGTAGCATGAGGAATAGCCGAGTTTCGCGGACACGTTTCAATCAGAACTCCAGTGGATTGTACAGCGAATCGAAAATGCCCTTTACGGGTGATATCAAAATTGTTTATTAATAGGAAGGTGGATAGGAGAATAA